CTTCAGACGATAAAAATTTTTTTATGAATGAAATTTCAGATGATAATCAAGTACTGCTTTGTACTCGATTATATAGGATAATACGAGTCACTATTAGCTCTTTCAGAACCTCTGATGTTCATATACAACCTGACGTCATTGTTTTTTTTATAAAATTATATTACTTCTACGCTTTATTTCAGCTCAAAAAGAAAATTATATATCAGGGTATTGGTTTTGTTTTAGTAAGTTTCTCTTTTTCTCTATCATTGTTGTACAGATAGTATATACCATATACATCTATATATTTTTTTTCTTTGCTTTGTTTCACCTGTGAAATATCCAGTCTTTATATTGGTTATTTACAAATGACTTTAGGATATTTCCAATCACAAAAATACATAGCGAGTCTTTTCTTCTTCAAAACTAAACCAATCCTGAAAGAGTTACTCATACTATTGCGCATTGATATATTTTTTTCGCGAGAATGAAGTTAAGCAGATATAAATTTCAAACAGTTATTACTGACATTGTTATTTCATACTGATGGTTAAATATAGCGAATGGTTAACTGCGTTCAAGTGTTGTTTTTTTCTCATAGAACTTGAGATTATATAGGGTAAATAGGAAGTACCTGATGCGAATGAGACGAATAATTTTATCAACCGCCTTGTTCTCAGCAAATTTCATGAATAAAAGTTTTACTTTTTCTAAACATGTTTATTTTGTTTTATATATTCTAAGTGTATATGAAAGCATAGATATGGCAAATCTTAATGGATTCACTTTTTCAATACCTGATAATAATCCATTACCAGGAACATCAAACATTGATCATTCTTTGAATAAAGTATGTTTTATTTGAATAAAAAATGTTTCAAATTGCATTGATTTATTTTATTCTTAGATATGTGATGGCTTAAATGATATTTTTAATACTCAATCGTCTCTTCCAATAGTCTCGAATTTCAACAGTGAGAATGCTAGTATTAATTATAATGCTCTCGCTGATCAGATTAGATCTGGTAAGTTTCAACTTTGAATAATAAATTTTTGCTGATAAAATTTCTGTATCTTTTAAGATTATCAACAATCAACAACATTAGGTCCAATTCGTTCTATTTCAGGTATAATTAAACTAAGGAGATCATTTGCAATATATTAATATAAATACTTTTTTTTATAGATTTCAATGGCATTCAAGTACCAAACAGAGAACAAGTGACATATCAGCAAATTAATCAAGTCCTTAATACAAAGCCTGATGTTTTCTATATTATTTCTCAACCACGCGATAGTTTCCGGCCCCGAACGGAAAAAGAAAGAGCTAACTCATCACATTTCATACGCTGTCGAGAAGGAGATAAATATGAATATCTAACTACAAATGTATATGCAAAATTATTTATCTAAATACTCATAAAACTTTTTTTTATTTCGTAGATACCACAAACATGGAATGGTCAAAATAGCTACATTGAAGTATCTCTTCTTGACATTTGTAATAACCCACATCCATATGCAATCGAGAATAGAGAACCTCATGAATCATCAGTAGTTTTTAAACCAAAGGAATCGAATAAATTATGTTTCCGTGTAACTAATGATGATGTTGCAAAAGGTTTTAAAAAGTAAATTATTAATTTAGAAAATTTTTGAATTTATATATTTTCATCTTTTTAGTTATAAGATTGAATTCATTAAAAGTAAACAAGATGATCAAATAACAAAAGAAGTCATTAAAGATCGACAGCTTAATAAATCCAAACTTCGTTTTACACGTTATTATCAAACGACTGATGGCTCATATGAGCGCGATGAAAGTAGTGTCATAGATACTATCGTAATGACAGAAGAGTATGGCAAATTTCGTGTAGAAGATGTATTTCCGCTACATGGCCCAGTACATAGTCATCAAAAAGTATGCATAGAAACAAAAGGTCCTGTTCCAAACGATTGCAAAAATAATTTTCATATCTATATAATTATAAATGATATCAATGGGTCTTGTAAAATAGAAGAAATCAAGAAGAATGGAAATAATTTTACTTTCAAAATGCCTGTACTTCCAAATGTTCATATGAATCGTCTTGAAGCAAAAATTAATATAGAATATAAACAAAATCTAATTTATCAAGCTAATTATCTCTATATCAGTAGTTTGGATAGTAAGAATATGAATCTATTTTATAGTTATTTTCTATTTATTTTTATTTTAGGAGAATTAAGTGTGAAAACTTCCATTGAATCCGATGACCGTATTGCTGTAAATTTTTCATCATCAGATGCATCAACCACTGCGTCGATTATGGCATCGAATTCCGAAAATCGAAGTGGAAAGCGTAAAAAAATGTAAACAAAAACATTATTTTTATTTATCTTATGTATTATACTCCGAACATAGATAATATACTAGAATGCAAACCAATAATTTTTTTTGAGAAAGTGATTAAAGGAATGTTTTTTTTCTTGTTATGTATTGTTAGCTTTTTCATTAAAATATATTGTTTTCAACAAAAATCTTTGCATCATACGATATAATCAAGATCTCAGCTAGATGTACGTTTAAAATATTTTTATTTATTGAAACACGCATAACAATATTTTTGCTATCTATTAGAAGTTACAGCAAAAAACTAATAAAATTCAACGTTATCCGAACATGTGAATTTTATACCTATACTTTACTTCAGAGAACATCTCTACAGTGTGTTAGAAGACTAAAAATTTCCATAAAATATTGCAATAACTACCTCTAATATATGATGCAGAAAGATAGATGAAACGTTGTCTTTGTGAATAAATATAGCAAAATTGCAAAATTTTTTCACTGCCCTATGTATATAATACTCAGTCTTTCATATATTAATATTGATTACACTATAAATAAAAGACACGTTTGCTCGTATGAATCAAGTTATTAGTTTTCTCCAGTTCTGATGGTATATATACATCATTTTAAAAACTACGTTATTTACTATGGCTACTAGTTTTTCTTTAAGGCAAGATATCAATTACAAATACCGTACTCCTCCATATCCTGTTTATTACTTCTTTTTACATCTCATCTATAACGATTAGATAGAAATCATTTTCAATGTTTGAGACTCTAAAATGTTTTTAGACAATAAAATTATTTGTATATGTAAAATTTTAGATAATGATCCAATACTAAGTTATATTCGATTGTCCAGCGTAGTATGATTCATTGTCAACCCACGCAGGACCTGTGATGTTTATATTAGGGGTGAGAAGTTATTGTCACAAATAACAATAACTTATTTGCGATAGTTATTTGCTATAAATAACAGATAAATAACAATAACTTTTTTTTCTGAAAAATTCAGCTAGCGTCATATCTTGGTTGAACCATATAAATCATTAGTAAAGGTACAAAAAATTCGGTCCAAAATATAAGTTTTCATAACGGATACAATTAAAATACACAATGAGGTGAGAAACGATATTTTTCACAAATAAAAGTTATTTGCTGTTTATCTGTTATTTATAACAATAACAATAAATTGTCACTCCTAGTTTATGTACACCATGACGTCATTTTTCTTTTTAAAATTACATTATTTCCACGCTGTATTATACTAAGATTCTTCTTTTTCTCTATCATTATGACACAGACAACATATACTATACACACCCATATTTCTTTTTCTCTCTTTCTTTTGTCTGTGATATAATTCAATCTTTATCTATATTTATAATAGCAGGGTTTTTTCCAACTACATATACATATATATGAAGTTTTTTTTATGAATGGCAAACTGCGTTCAAGGATTGTTATTTTCGTATAGAATTAAAAAATATAGGTTAAATCGAAAGTTTCTGATGCGAACGAAATGAATAATTTTATTAACCGTCTTACTCTCAACAATTTTTATAAATAAAATTTTTCCTTTTCTAAATATGTATTTATTTTATTTTTAGAACAATGTTTTGAAAAATAATTTTCATATATTCTAAGTGTATATGAAAGCATAGCTATGGCAGAACCTAATGAATTCACTTTTCTAAATATGGATCATAATCCATCTGAATTGATACAAGCACTATTAAATACTGATCATTCGTTGGATAAAGTATGTTTTGTTTGAATAAAACATGTTTCAGATTGCATTGATTTGTTTTATTCTTAGATGATTTATACTTACTTACCTGATATTGCTAATACTCAGTTGTCTTCTCCGCCAGTCCCGAATTTCAACAATAACAACAATTATAATGACATTGAAGATACCAACGATCCAATTATGTCTAGTAAGTTTTAACTTTGAATAATAAATTCTCCTAATAAAATTTCTGTATCTTTTAAGATTATCAACAATCAACAACATTAGGTCCGATTCGTTCTATTTCAGGTATAACTAAACTAAATAGATCATTTGCAATATATTAATATAATTATTTTTTCGATAGCTTTCAATGGCATTCAAGTACCAAACAGAGAACAAGTGACATATCAGCAAATTAATCAAGTCGATGGTACAAAACCTGTAAAGTTTCAATTAATTTGTCAACAAACTGCTAGTTTTCGACCTCGAACTGAAAAAGAAAGAGTAACGGCACATTACCTACGCTGTCCAAAAGGAGCCAAACATGAATATTTAACTACAACTGTATATGCAGAATTATTTATCCAAATAGTCATAAATTTTTTTTTATTTCGTAGATACTGCAAACATGGCGTGGTCAAAATAGCTATATTGAAGTATCTCTTCTTGACATTTATAATAACCCGCATTTATATAGAATCGAGAATAGAGAATGTAATAAATCATCAGCAGTTTTTAAACCAAAGGAATCGAATAAATTATGTTTCCATGTAACTGATGATGATGTTGCAAAAGGTTTCAAAAGGTGATTTATTAATTTAGAAAATTTTTTAATTTATATATTTTCATCTTTTTAGTTATTTAATTGAATTTGTCAAATGTAAGCAAGATGAACAAATAACAAAAGAAGTCATTAAAGATCGACAACTTAATAAATCCAAGCTTCGTTTTACACGTTATTATCAAACTACTGATGGCTCATATGAACGCGATGAAAGTAGTGTCATAGATACTATCGTAATGACAGAAGAGTATGGCAAATTTCGTGTAGAAGATATATTTCCGCTAGATGGACCAATGCAAAGTAAGCGAAAAATATGCATAGAAACAAAAGGTCCTCTTCCAAATGATTTCAAAACTAACCTTGTTGTCAATATAATTGGCAATGATATCAATTGGTCTCGTAAAGGAGAAGAAATCAAGAAGAATGGAAATAATTTTTCCTTTGATATGCCTGTACTTCCAAATGTTCATATGAATCGTCTTGACGCGAAAATTAATATAGAATATAAACAAAATCTAATTTATCAAGCTAATTATCTCTATATCAGTAGTTTGGATAGTAAGAACATAAATCTATTTTATAATTATTTTCTATTTATTTTTATTTTAGGAGAATTAAGTGTAAAAACTTCCAGTGGACTCGATGAATGTGTAGCTTTAAATATTTTATCATCAGACGCATCACCTACTTCGTCTATTATGGTATCGAATTTGGATAATCGAGGCCAAAAACGTAAAAGAAGATAAACAAAACAGTACATTTTTTTATATTTTTTTCATTTTTTTTCCGGATGGTTTTAGAAGAAGAAAAGGCGCATTTGTAGATTTTTTACATTTCGTGACTGATAAAATAGATTGTTTGTTATAAATTAAGTCAAGATATTGTTTTTCGATTTGTATTTCTCATATAACATTATTGTTAACTTTCTTGTTATAACATATTATTTTGTAAATAAACCGTTACACTATAAAAAATAATCAAGATCTCAACTAGATTCGTTTGATTCATGTCATCCGTTATTTGTCTCTACTTTCAGTGTAACAGTGGATTAATATTGATAATAATCAGTTAGAAAAATTCAATATATTATCTGATATCCTATCGCTTATATTTAATGCGATGCGAAGCAAAGCATTTCTATAGTCATTTGCGAGTTTTCTTACTTTCTCGACGTAGGCGTTCAAAGTTGTCATTTGATGTTACGATTATCTTAGCAACGAAATATTCAAATCGAACTGATACCATGCATTCACAGAAAGCATCGCAAAAACATGATTTTGACTTTTTCAAATTTCCAGATAATTAAAACGAAAAGTTAGGTGTCACTTTTCTCTAACAATTGTTTTACAGCTGAAACTGTAGCTGATAATATTAATAGTGACACTAGATATACACATAAGCTAACTACCTTTATATCTTGATAAGATGTGAATGGTTGTGAGTAGTTAGAATATATATTCTACACCCACATCCTAATTCTAGAATTTCAGATCTATCCAAAGAAATAAATTATATGAAAGATTTTATTTATAAATCGATGCTTTTTTAACGAAAGAACAACACGTGACTATATACTATGAATTAATTCCATTATGTAATGTTTTGTAATACAAATTTTATTTTATTTTCTAAAATTTAATCATGATTTATTTTAGTAATTGGTTCAAGCCATTCAAAAATACTGATCATCATTTTTTTTCCATTCGTAAATATCGCTAGCTTTAAGCTCAATATAAACATAATCTCACGATAAAATACACATATACTTTATACGATGCACAGATAGAAGATATTGTCAAAATACAAAACATACACTGATGTACAATCTAATGTATGATTATATTAATAATTTGAATTCTACTGTCATATATAGCGAAGAGTATGGTTGTTCATAAATAAATTGCATTCTCTTTATTGCTGTAACCTAAGCAGAAAAAGTTGGTTATAAATAATAATTTTCTATAGTTAAATTATTCATTGCCCATTAAATATTTTTTCGTTTAGTATTAATCATAAATATAGATGTTAAATACAAAGATCTATGTTTATACAAGTACATTCAATATTTACTATTGCTATTCAAAATATGAAAGTATATTTTACAGATAAACTCACAGACTATAAACAGTTAAGTTCAATACGCAAATGTTTTATAAGATAATATGTGATAGTTTTCTGAAATAAATTTTAATCGAATATAAGCTACTTCGAAAAGATAACACAAACATATTAATTATTAGAAAAATGAACGTTGACTCAACATAAAATTTCAAAATGTGCACGATTAATTGTTTTCTGTATTACTGATGTCTTCACATTAGATAAATAGAAGTATTATGATTCTATTCTTCGAGACAAGAAGTCTTGTTGAATAACTTCAATTTTTCGTTTTCAGAATTCAATGATACTGAAATGTTTTCAATAGAGTTTTCTCATCTATATGCAGATAACATTCTTTCAAGTTGTTTCGTTTTTTTTTTTCATTTGTTTTAATGTGCCAATGTAGGTTCACACTAGAAGAGAAAAAAACGAGAAATAGGATCAGTATGAAAAGAGGAGAAGATAAAAGAAAGCAATAATAAAATAAAAAAATGTTATAATATCGTTTAACGACCTCACGTGTATGAATATATACATACTTGACAGTATTTGTAGAAGAGGATGAGAGAAGTTGTGACAGAGATAATGGATGAATGGGAGCGTATGTAATTCATTCGTATATGATTCTTCATTTGTTGTTTGCAACTCAAGTACGTTTTTACAAGTATGTTTTATTTATCATATATTATTTCTTGGAAAACACAAAAAAAAGTTTTTATTTGTTGACTTTCTTCGTCATGTCGTTTCTTTTCTTAAATCTGTTAATGGAATATATACATTCAGTATAAGTGTATAAATTTATATGTATAAGTACATACGACAGCAGAAAAAGTTTCAAAGAGTATATAATTATTTTTTAAACTAGTTTTTTCTGTTAGCTTATTTATCGTAGTATTGAGGGATTTTCAATCAATCGATTTAGTAAACGAAAACGAAAACACATCATTTATTTACAACTGATGTCGATATTATACACGCATTCTTCAAAAATATTTGACTATATGATAGATCTATAAACTTTCCAATGATTAAAGGCTATGTATAGTAGAAGTGACTAATTTTTGAACATTTTCTCCCTTTTCCACGCAAAATATAGGATTTATAGAAAATATAAGTCGAATCCGATCCTAGCTGAGTCAGTGGCGTATATTTAAGAAACATGAAAAAATTAAGCGAAATACTAATAATAGAGAAAGCAATGAAAATGATGATAAAAAGAACAATTTCGAAAAAAATTTCTTATATTTTTAAAATGACACATTATTCTCATTCATTTATAGACATTTCTTCTTGAAGTAGTCTACATTGTAACAAACAATGGGTAACAAAAAATCAAAAGCGTCTGTTCAAATCAATACACAAGCTAATACTAAACACGTATCAAATATTTCTAAGGATGCAGTTACAAATCGGCGTATGAACATGAAAAGAATGCAAAATGTCCTACTAATTTGGTTGGATAGTAATATTAACGATAATGATCCTGATTGTAATAATATAATCCAACAATTGACACGTCTTGTTAACAACGTAAAAACATTTACAGATGATAAACAATGTGTTGAATTTATTCAAACGGCTACCAACAACAAAATAATTATGATTGTTTCTGGTTCACTTGGACAACATATTGTACCTCATGTACATAATATGTCTCAAGTAGATAACATTTTTATTTTTTGTAACAATCAAGAATGGCATAAACAATGGGCGAAAGAATGGTCTAAAATAAAAGGAGTCTACACAGATATAACATTAATCTGTGAAGCTCTCAAACAAGCTGCTCACCAATGTGAGCAAAATGCCATCTCAATCAGCATTGTGGCACCAAACAATAAATTGGATCAATTAGATCCACCCTTTATGTATACCCAGATCTTGAAAGAGATCTTATTAACTATCAACTTTGAAGATAAACATATTAAAGAATTTATTACCTATTATCGTGAAGCATTTGTCAAAAATGAGTCTGATTTACGTAATATTGAAGAATTGGAACGTGATTATCATGATAAAAGACCTATTTGGTGGTATACTTATCAATGTTTTTTATATCGGATGCTCAATCAAGCATTAAGATTAATGAATGTTGATATTATTCTTCGAATGGGTTTCTTTTTTAATGATCTACATCGTGATATTCAACGACTACATTCGGAACATCTTGATAGTCAACAATCTGATGAAATATTTGAAGTTTATCGTGGGCAACGTCTTTTAAAAGAAGATTTTACCAAAATGAAAAATGCTAAAGGTGGACTTCTTTCATTTAATAACTTTCTATCAACTAGTAAAGATCGTGATGTTTCTCTTTGTTTTGCACCACAAGTTGATACAGAACCTGATCTTGTTGGAATTCTGTTTGTTATATCTATAAATCCTACTCATTCAACAGCTCCATTTGCTTCTCTTACGAATGTTAGTCATTTTGACGACGAAGATGAAATTCTTTTCTCTATGCATACCATTTTTCGTATTGAAGATATTGAACCAATAGATGAAGACAATAATCTTTACCAAGTGAATTTAACATTGACCAATAACAACGACCAAGATCTTCGTACTCTTACTGATCGTATCCGACAGGAAACCTATCCAAATGCGGCAGGATGGCAGAGATTAGGATTACTGTTAATTAAAATGGGTGAGTTTAACAAGGCTCAAGAAGTTTATGAAATTTTACTTCATCAAACAACGCATGAAAATGACAAATCACCTATTTATAATCAACTAGGTTGGATCACAAACAGTCAAGGAATATATTCAAAAGCACTTACATATTATAAAAAATCACTTACTATCTGTCAGAAAACACTTCCTTCTAATCATCTTAATTTAGCTATGTCCTACAACAACATCGGTGTGCTGTATGACAAAATAGGTGATTATTCCAAAGCACTTTCATCTCATAAGAAAGCCCTTGAAATTCGACAACAATCACTTCCTTTTGATCATCCTGATTTGGCTGCTTCCTATAACAACATCGGTACAGTTTATGATGGCAAGCGTGATTATAAAACGGCACTTGAATTTTATAAAAAAGCCCTTCCAATTCAGGAGAAATCACTTCCTCCCAATCATCCTCATTTGGGTGGTTTCTGTAACAACATCGGTTTGGTGTATGAGAATATGGGCAACTATCTAGAAGCTCATTCATTTTATAAACGTGCTGTACAAATTGCACAACAATCATTACTACCAAATCATCCAAACCTTCAGAAATGGACAATCAATCTCGAACGCATAGAAACGAAATTATAATTTGTTTTTGTATTTTTTTTAAGTAAAATAAAACCGGTGAAAAATAAAATGTGTCTTTATTGAAACTTTATTCTTATTGTGAACACAATATAAGCAGCAGTATTCACCGGTAAGGTAAAAAATACGTATTGAAAAGATATATAATACAATAGATGCTATCTGGAGCATCCTATTTTATTGCTAACGTATAGTGAATAAAGGCGGTTAAGGACGAAAAAATATTCCCACATGATAATATCGTTTATTATGTGATATTCATCAATGAATAATGAAAGTATCTGCTACTATTAATTACAATATTCATCTAGTTTTCTAGAATATTTAGTTCTTTATTTACTATTGTTGTTATAAAAAAATGAACAGGAGAGTTCATCAAATAAAATAATTCGTATTGAATTAGCTAGGAGTGAAATAATTTCCTATCTATACAATATATATAGTCAACTAGTGTCAGTAACTTCCGAAACAATGTAATAATAAGAAATATTTATAAAAAATCAATCGTTCTATTGATATTTTTAAAGGTTTTTCTCATATTCTATATTTCACTTGAAATAGTTTAGCTATAAGAATTATTTTTCTATTTGACATATTTTTATTTTCTATTCTATATGATACTCAGTGTTTCATATATTAATATTAATTACATTATAAATGAATGATACTTTCCTCTGTATGAATAATGTTATTAGTTTTTTTCAAGCCTGATCGGATATATAACACTATCGAAGGTACGTTATTTACTATGGCTAATAGTTTTTCATTAAGGTAGCATAGTATATCTATTATAAACAACGTACTCCTCCATTTTCTCTTTATTACTTTTTTCTACATCTGATCTGTAACATTTTAAATAGAAATCATTTTAACTATTTGAGATTCTGTGAAATGTCTTCAGATAATAAAATTATCTATATACATAAAATCTCAGACGATGATCGAATACTGAATTATATTCGATTGTCCAGGGTAATATAATTCACTATTAACCATTTCAGGACTTGTGACCTTTATACACGTCCTGACGTCATTTTTCTTTGTAAAAGTACATTACTTCTAGGCTTTATTTCAGCTTGGAAAGAAAATAATATATCAGTGTTTATTTTGTTGTAGTATGATCTTCTTTTCTTTATCATTGTGACGCATAATATATAACATATATATCTATGTTTCTTTTCTTTCTTTGACCTGTAAAATACCCAGTCTTTATTTATGAATGACTCGGAAAATTCCAGCCACGGGCAAATATATAACAAGTTTTCTTTCGTTTAAAACTAAAACAATTCTGAAAGAGTTAATCATACTATTGCGCATTTATATATTTTCTTCGTGAGAGTGAAGGTAAGCAAATATAAATTTCAGACAGTTATTAGTTAAATTGTTACAGTTATATTATAGGTTTCATTGTTATTTCATAATAACGGTTAAATATAGTGAATGATGAACCGTCTACAAGTGTTGTTATTTTCTCATAGAAGTTTAAAATATAAGCTAAATATGAAGTACCTGACGCGAACAAAATGAATAATCCTATCAATCATCTTGCTCTCAACAAATTTCATAAATAAAAGTTTTCTTTTTCTAAATATTTATTTATTTTATTTTCAGATCAATATTTTCGAAAATAATTTTCATATATTTTAAATGTATATGAAAGTATAGATATGATAGAAATTGATGATCTCCTTTCAATATATGATTTTGATCTCCTTTCAATATATGATTCTGATCTCTCAGAATTTACACTACCAGTAACATCAAACACTACTGCTTTCATTGTTGAAGTATGTTTTATTTGAATAAAACATGTGTTAGACTGCATTGATTTCTCTTATTCATAGGAATGTGACTTCTATTTAAATTCTTGTTTTTATTTTGAATCTCTTGCTTCACCCTTTGAAAAATTTCTTCATGAAATTAAGCAAATGGCTAATCGATCTATATCTGGTAAGTTTCAACTATTAATAATAAATTTTGCTAATAAAACTTCTGTATCTTTTAAGATTATCAACAATCAACAAAAGAATATCTAATTTACTTTATTTCAGGTATAATTAAACTAAAGCGATGATTTGCAATATATTAATGTAAATAGTTTTTTTTCGTAGCTTTCAATGGCGTTCAATTATCAAAGAAAGATCAAGTGAAATATCAACAGATTATTCAATTCCTTAGTACACAATCTGAAGATTTCCAATTTATTCAACCACGTGATACTTTTCGACCACGAACAAAAAAAGAAAGAATGGAATCATTTCATTTTCTATGCCGTCAAGAAGGAGACGAATATGAATATCTGACTACAACTGTATAAGCATAATTACATATCTAAATACTCATAAAAAAGATTTTTTCTATTTCGTAGATACCACACAAATGGCGTTGTCGAAAAAATTATATTGAAGTATCTCTTCTTGACATTGATAATAAGCCACATCCATATACACTCGAGAGTAAAGAAAGTAATAAATCATCACTGGTTTTTGAACCAAAAGAATCGAATAAATTATGTTTCGATGTAACTGATGATGATTTTGCAAAAGGCTATAAAAGGTAAATTAGTTTAGAAAAATTTTTAGTTTATATATCTTCATTTTTTTAGTTATAAAATTGGTTTTATCAAAAATAAACAGAAAGAACAAATAACAAAAGAGAAAAGTAAAAATCGACAACTCAATAAACTCAAACTTCGCTTCACATGTTTCTATGAAAATCCTAATGGTTCTTTTGAACCAGATGAAAGTAGTACTATAGATACTGTTGTAATGACAGAAGATAATGGGAAATTTCGTGTGGAAGATGTTTTTCCATTAATTGAACCAATGTGTAGTAGTCAAAAAGTATGCACCGAACCAGAAGATCCTGATTTAAACGATTTCAATAATAATTTTCATATCAATATAATTATAAATGATATCAATCAGTCTTATGAAATAGAAGAGATTAATATGAATGGAAGTAATTTTACACTTGATATGCCTATATATTTAAATAATCAAATGAAACATGTTGAAGCGAAAATTAATACAAAATATATAATTTATCAATGTAATTATCTCTATATCAGTAGTTTGAATAGTAAGAATATAAACCTGATTTACTATTATTGTCTATTTATTTATTTATTTTTAGACGAATTAGCTATAAATACTTTCAATGAATCAGATAAATATGTTGCTGCTAGTTTTTCATCATTGGATGCATCATCTGCTTGGTCTTTCATGGGATTGAATTTGGATATCGAAGCCGAAAACGTCAAAGAAGATAAAGAAAATAGTGCATTTTATTTTAGATGGTTTTAGGGGGAAAAAAGCGCATTTGTAAATTTTTTACATTTCGTGACTAATAAAATAGATTGTTTGTTATAATTTAAGTCAAGATATTGTTTTTCGATTTTTATTTCTCATATAACATTATTGTTAACTTTCTTTTTAAAATGTATTATATCGAAAATAAACCGTTACATCAAAAAATATAATCAAGATCTCAACTAGATATGCGTTTAAAATGTTTTTATTTACTGAAATACGTATAACAATATTTTTACTATCGATTAGAACTTACAGAATTTTAAGAGAAAAGTTTTCGTATTGTTGAGGTCAATTAAAAAGTTTGAATCTTCTCTAACTCCTGGAAAATCTTCTGTTTAAATCATTCTTCGTTTGATCTATATCATCTGTTATTTGTCCCTATTTTCAGTGTAACAGTTAATTAATATTGATCATAATAACTTAGAAAAATTCAATATATTTAAACTCTACTGTTAAATTTCGATGTAAATTTATTCTTATAACATAGTTCAACTCAAGCACATTGTTTTACAACCCATAGCTAAATTTGTAAACTTAGAATTAGTTATTGAAATTGTTACTGTAGAAACAGTAAAGATTTTTTTCAAGAATAAATATGAAGTAAAGAAATAATATCTGATCGATTATTAATAATATTTCTACCTTTGTGTCGATCGTGAATGTAAATTTTGATTCCAAAGAATATGATATTCATTTCTAAAAACAATCATACATACCAAAAAATAATGAAATTCTAAACTTACATCTTTCTTCATAGAAATGGATCCAGTTTTGGACTACATAAAATAATACGATAAATTACTATCTTTTCTTTCTATTTCTATTGAATTATTAATGTAGAACTCACGTAAATTTCCGAAAGAAATTATGCGCATAAGTCAGGCTAATATATCACCCACACCTACCATTCAAAAATAAATCGCAGCCATAACTTTTTAATTCATGTTAGTTATTTGGCACATCCCTCAAAAGCTCTCGTTTTCTTTCAAAAATAAAAGAAGGCCAAAAACTAAAAGGTCACTAGGTGTCTTTGATACGAACATACGTGAGTTCCACATACGGGACTACGTTGGGAAGCTTTTTTTCTTATATAAATATATCTCTACAATCTTCTTTCTTATTATTTTTAAACATAACATTAACTGAAATCTGTTGATAAAAACTTTGATTGAAGCATCAATAAAAAGAAATGATCGAGTTTATTGTTTTTTAAACATTTCGAGCTAGGATAACAATAAATGAAAAAAAAGAAAGTTTATCTTAAATCATTTAAATATTTTCTTCTTCGAATTAACCAACTTTAGGTTCTTCAACAACAATATCATTATCATCAAC